CCACAGGGTGTGGGGCTGCTGTCACTCAGTGGGGGCAGGAGGAGCATGTGGGGAACTGGGTACAGGACTTCCCTCCTGCCCCCTGTGCCTGTGAATGGACATGTACAGCAACCCAGCATGAGGGGGGCTGGAGTTCCAGTACCCAGACCCCTCAGGAGGAAGGTTTGGGTCACACCCCAGGTAAGTCATTGGGGTCCCCATCCCTGAGCTGGGAAATCCATGGCAGCCCCTGTGCAGAGGCCCCCTTCCCACGGGCTGTTCCCCCACCTTGATCGGGCACTGCAGGGACCCAGGCAGCCATTCCTGGGGTCAGGGCCTCCTCTGATGCTGACAGTGGCTCAAGGACTGTCCTGTGGCCTCGCTCAACCTCACTAAGATCGCCCAGTAGTGACCTAAGACACGTCTAACAAACCTCCTCTTCCTGGCCATCGGGTTGGATCTGGGTCTGCTGGCTTGCCCAGCGAGTTCTGGCTCCCTCTCCATAGGCTCTGACAGGTGTCCCCCTGGTACACACTGCTGAGGGCAATCCCACCTTAGAATCTGCTGCTTGGGGGACTGGGACTAACAAAATCATTTGCATCTCTCTGCCAGCGATCTCTTACTCCATTGGGTAAAATCCTTCTCTTTCCCCAACTTCTCCACCAGCATTGGCTCCCTTGTGCTGGCGAAGTATTATCTTTTTGAGGTAACAGATGCTTATGTTTCAAGTCACTAAAGTTCCGGGAAGTTCCTTGCTCTGCAGTGAATAAGTCACAAGGCTCTCTTTAGTTTCTTTTAGTCTGCATCGCTGATTCCTTGCACTTGGAAAATGTCACCTGCACTCACTATTTCCAGTTCCTCTCCTCCTGTTCTCTCTTTCATTCTGTCTTTTTTCCATTCCTCCTTCTTTTTTTCCTTCTCTCCTTTTTTTATGCTTATTATCAGATCTCATCCATATAAAATAATACTCTGCGGTTATGCTAAAGGAAGCATTACCTGGGTGTATATGTTAAAAGTATAAATACAAGGAATATGGAATAGAAGGAAAGGAAAGGAAGTAATTAATAGCCTGAAAAGAAAATGCCCAGGTGATTCTGCAACCAAGGACCTGACAATCCACTTTTAATGCTTCTATTTAAGCTCAGGTTGGTTTATTTTCAGAACAACTATATCAGCAACATGAAGTCTTCCACATTCCTGGTAAAAGTTTAAATAGGCACTCGAACTTTTAAATTACATGAGCATCATTGAGTCTGGCTAAAGTACAGACCCCACAGGGCCGAGCATTCCCACCCCTGACCACCCCCTCTGGAGAATTTCTTGCCTTGTGCCCCAAGAGAAATGTTTGCAGCAAAAAATGGAATGACCACGGATACATCAATAGGAAAATAGCAAAATTTCAGTCCAAACATAAAATTTAAGTCTTCAGCACTAAAAACAGAAGGACAGTCACAGATGAGAGACGACCCTTATTAATGCTGAGCCTCAGAAGACTCCATGCAGTACAGAAAATTTAAAGCTGGCAAAACTAAATAAAATTT